AGCCTATTCTGTCTTATAAAGATGCCATTTAAAAGTGGCCTCCAAAAGAGAATATTTGCTGAATGAATGCAGGCAAAATGCAAACGTAATGGAAAGAATTGGAAAACAGGAGAGCATCAGAGTAGACTTGAGACTGTATTGTTTGAAAGCTCTTCCTGGGTTGGACCTTTGCAGAGACTCTGCGAACCCAATTCCACATGTATGTGTATCCATACACACACACTCCTTAAAAAGCCTCACATATTATCTTGGAATTAGTCTTTTTTTTTTTTTTTTTTTTTTTTTTTTTTTTTTTTTTTGAGAACATCTGCCCTTTAATTTGCATTTAAAATCTGTTTCTTTAAATACTTCAGTTACAAGTTCTGAATAGTGAAGACAGAGTAGTAGATGCTGCAGGCACTCAGTATTGGCTCCCACCCCTTCCCCCCTCCCCCACCCCCAGGCCTCACTTCTTGGCTCAAGATATGAAAGGGCACTTTCTAATGGCCCCAATGTCAAATGTCAGCAGCCTCAGGCCTGGATGCAGTTAGATACAAAGCCATGAATCCCAGTAGCTTTCACAAGATACTTGCATTTAACCATACTCCAAGGAAATCCAATGATTGTGCCCAGATCCAAGGGTAGCACACCTTGGAAATGACCTCAACCATTTCGCCACAATGTACTAACACCCTCAGGGTGGCTTCCTACCATAGTCCATTGTCCTCCAGAACTGTGTCCTGCAGAGGAAGAGACAAGGCCCCGCTATAACGAAGGAAGGAACAAGAACTGCCTCCTCAGCCCACGTGCTTACACCAACTTAACTGAAAAGCTCAAGTCAATTTGAGGGAGACCTCCCTTCCCTAGTCTCTACCAGGCTCTGGCCCTTCCTCGGAACCATGCTTGGTCCCACTGCCATGATGTGGTAGAATCTGCTTTAAATAAGAACAAGGTGCTGGAATGAGGCCCAGCAACCAGGAAAGGGTTTAGAAAGGGTTGCCACAACCCCAGCTGAGAGAGACTGTGCCAAGACAGATCTTCTTGGTGTGAGCCTATGATGGAGAGCGTGAGGGCAGGTCTGGGCTCTCCTTCCATGAGGATTACATGTGACCTCAGGGGACCTCTGCCCTCTTCTCCCACTCACCCACCGAGATCCCCTGGCCTGTGCTTCCTGGAAGAGGTAGAAGAGGTATCTTGAAGTCAATGACAACAGAGAATGAAGGTGCCATTTAAGAAACAAAGCAGCACCTCTTTGCCTGTGTTCAATCCCTCCACACAGGTGGAATCAAGTGAGAATGTGCACAGCCAGGACAGAGGCTGCTCTGTGCTTGAGAGGCACAGCATCCTCCTAGCTGTCTCTGCAGAACAGACTTTCAGAAGACAGGAACTTAGTCATGTGGTCCCCGGGGGTTTCTCTATAGTATACTGGCACTAAGGAGAAGGAAAATCATCTTTGCAGAGGGCTGATGGAAGAAAGGCAGGAATATTAATGAACATCCATTAAGGCTCTCTCTCTCAAGCCTAAAGAATTAAGATATTCAAGGGTGAGACAAGTGCAGAGAGGGAGAGAGCCTGGCAGGAACACCAATAAAAGACCTGTGACTGCTGGTTACATAGTGCTCTGCTTCCTTGCTTGAGGCCAACAGCATGTGCCTGCCTGTCACCAGGCAAACCTGGGACCCATGAGGGGGCAGGGGTAAGACTGGTTTTTCAGTTCCTGCATGATTTGTAGGGTGTGTGGCTTCCTCCTAAAGATCCAGGAGGAGGACTCTGGGATCCTCTACCGCCGCCTTGATTTTGTGGAGGAAAGTCACAGCCTCTCTGCCGTCAATCAGCCGGTGATCGTAGGTCAGTGCCACGTACATCATGGGCCGCACCTCCACCTTGCCTCCTATAGCCACAGGCCTGTCAAAGATGGCATGCATGCCCAGGATGGCAGACTGAGGGGGGTTGATTATGGGCGTTCCAAAGAGGGAGCCAAAAACTCCTCCATTGCTAATGGTGAAGGTACCACCATCCATATCTTCAATGGCAAGTTCATTCTTTCAGGCCTTCTCTCCCAGTTCAGTGATGGTCCGTTCAATATCTGCATAATTCATAGCTTCCACATTCCTGATGACTGGAACCACCAGACCCCGTGGGGTGGCCACTGCAACACTGATGTCAGTATAATCCCTGTACACCACCTCTTTGGTTGTATCGTCAATCGCTGCGTTTACAACAGGCTGTTCCTGCAAGGCAAGGGCTGAGGCCTTCACAAATGCTGACATGAAGCCTAGTTTGAGGTTATGTTTCTTCAAAAAAGCCTCTTTGTGCCGAGCCCTCATCTCCTGGATGTTACTCATGTCAATCTCATTAAAAGTTGTCAGCATTGCACATGTATTCTGGGCCTCCTTCAGACGCTGAGCAATGCGCTGCCGCATCCTGTTCATTTTCTCCCGATGTTCTGAACGCAGACTACCTTTGCCAGCTCCTGGCTCAGTTAGTGGAGGGGCAGCAGTGGGTTTTACTGCAGACACAGGTTTGCTAGAAAGAGGTTGTGAGGGCAAGGGCACTGGTGGCATCTGAGTGGGTATGGGTGCTGCAGTGGGAGGAGGAACTGCCACTGCTGTAGGCTCTGCTTTTGGGGCTGCAGCAGCAGGAGCTTCGGCTGGCTTGGCCTTAGCAGGAGCAGCACCAGTTTTCCTGAGTGTGAAAAGTGGAGTGCCTCCTTCGACTTTTCCCCCATCAGGTACCAAAAGAGCTTCAATCACGCCATTTGCTGGTGATGGAACCTGCACAGATGTCTTGTCAGTTTCAATCTCACAAACCACTTCATCTTCTGCAACTGTGTCTCCAACAGCTTTCTCCCACCTGGCATCTCCCTCTGTAACAGATTCTGCAAATGCTGGGGTTTTGACTGTAACCAACTCATCCTTGCACACAGCCGTAGTTCTGAAGAAGCGAACACTGAAGACACTACTGTTGTTAATGACAACCTTCCTGCTGTTAGGGTAACCTGGTCCCTGGCATAAGGAGACCCCAGGCAGGGAACGTCTCCCTAGAGGGCAGTTCCCCTTCTGGAAGGAGGAGAGCGAGTGGCTAAATGCCCGAGACACACAGCAGGACCGGGACAGCATCACGGCACGGAATTAGTCATTGTTATCTCTCACTTGTAATATTGCTCTCCCCCAATAGCAGGAGTAATTGAGTTGAGTCTATATTAATTTGGGTATATCAAGTTCTTGCTCAATGAAGAAATTGACTAGCTTGCAAATTGTCAGCTAGCCAAGACAGGGAAAAGTTTACACAAGGCTGAAAACGTTGTATAAGTAATTTTAAAACCACACGAAACATGTTTGCCAAGTTTAAAAGTAATTAATTAAATTATAGGACACAATTGAAGCAGAGAGACATTAAAATAAAATTACATTGTTAACTAGATTTTAAAAGTAAATTATTGCATTATTTTGAATTTGTAAAACTGATTCAGTAGGAGGAGAAGATTAATACTCAGTTTATAAAAGTATTCATGTTTTCCTTTAGGCATTTCTTCTAGTGCATTCAAAATTATTCAATTTACAAATAATTTATTTTTAAGTTAACTTCCAGCATATAAAATGGTTGTGTTGAAACACTCTCTTCAGAATTTTATTTTTAAAAGATACCCTTTTAGTATAAATTTACATTTATATCTGAATGCTTTGTGAAAGATATTAGTCTTTAAAACATTTTACAGGCTGGCTGGCTTTGGTGGCTCACGCTGTAATCCCAGCACTTTGGGAGGCCAAGGCAGGTGGATCACTTGAGCCCAGGAGTTCAAGACCAGCTTGGGCAACACAGTGAAACCTGATTTCTACAAAAAATACAAAAATTACCAGGTGTGGTGGCACACAGCTGTAGTTCGTACTCAGGAGGCTGAGGTGGGAGGATGGCTTGAGCCCAGGAGTTCAAGACCAGCTTGGGCAACACAGTGAAACCTCATTTCTACAAAAAATACAAAAATTACCAGGTGTGGTGGCACACAGCTGTAGTTCGTACTCAGGAGGCTGAGGTGGGAGGATGGCTTGAGCCCAGGAGTTCAAGACCAGCTTGGGCAACACAGTGAAACCTCATTTCTACAAAAAATACAAAAATTACCAGGTGTGGTGGCACACAGCTGTAGTTTGTACTCAGGAGGCTGAGGTGGGAGGATGGCTTGAGCCCAGGAGGCAGAGGCTGCACTGAGCCATGATTCCACCACTGCACTCCAGCCTGGGTGCCAGAGCGAGACCCTGTTTCAAGAAAAAAGAAAGTTGGACAGTTCCAAAACATACTAATGTTAATTAGAGTCTGCTAAGTTGTTATACATAAATACAATTTAAAAATTCAGTGGCTCAAACAAAATAGCAATTGTCTCTCATGTTAATGTCCAAGATTAGCAGGTGCAGATTAGAAGAGCAAAACTGACTCAAGGAGTGGTAGGAGGTGGGCAAGGATCCGAGGCATGAACCGCAGTCCAGGCCTCTTACACCCCTCACGGCCGTCAGATAGAACCCTGGGCTGGATGTGCCCTTGTTCTCACCCAGTGCCTGAAATCTTATATCTGTTATATTGGTGGTTCTACAGGACTTAATATTTGAAAAGTTGCATTTTAGAAGTGGATAATTTGTCTATTTGGTTACCCACATAACTGCGTGAAAGCACTATTAAAAATACTTTTATTTCATTGAAATTATCTGTTTATGTTTTGGTCTCCTCCACAACTGTAAGGTCCGCTGAGTAGGAAACAATATATTCCTCACTATACTCCCACACCACCCCCACCCCCGCACTCAGTTCAGTGCGTGGGGATATAAAGGTAAATTTCTGCCAGAAGTGCAGATTCTTAGATCCAGATTGTGAGAAGGGGAGGAGAGAGGTATAGGCCTGCCGGGTGCGGAAGGGTTGAATAGATCGCCTGAAGGGGAGGTGTTCACTTAAGCATTTGGAGCAGGAGGAGTTGCTTTGGCGTTGTTGGCAGTTTGTCACTTTAAGACAAAAACCAGGAAGTTAAAAGTGGATGCAGGGGCGGGCGCAGAGGAGGCTAGGGGACACTTTGTTTTCCGAGAAAGTAGTTGGGAGTGCAGGCAACTGCCGCTGAAAATCGAGAAGTTGCCGGATTAACCTGTTCGCCCAAAGCAGCTTCAGCCCGTGTTTTATTCCCATGGAGGGAGGGAACGGGTGCCACTGAGTGGGCCGGGGAGTGGGCGCTGAACGGAGGCGGAGCGCTAAGCCCCTCCCGTTGACTCTCGCTGTTGTTTGTACGTTGTTGGTTTATCTTTATTTGACGACACTCAAGAGTCGAGTCGCCTCCGCATAGCCGCTGAAGGCTCTGCCTGGCTCTTCAGGACAGGCGGCGAGATCTGGTACCGCAGCAGAGCACTCTCACCTCTGGGCTTGCAGGCGCAGGGCTGCCCCACCCAGCAGAGCGATTCCCTAGGGTGCAAAGGACTGTTGAATCTGTCCTCCCAAAGCCCCTCTTGTACGAATTTATTCGAATGCCATGGCCAAGGTCTTCCTGGAAAAATGTTGACCGATGTGTGCTTTTTGTCCTTTGTCATCCCTTCTTTAGGACAGGCGGCACTGAGCCACACGTGAAGATCTCTGGAGACCATGACTAAGAAAAGAATTGCTGTGATTGGAGGGGGAGTGAGCGGGCTCTCTTCCATCAAGTGCTGCCTAGAAGAAGGCTTGGAACCTGTCTGCTTTGAGAGGACTGATGACATCGGAGGGCTCTGGAGGTTCCAGGTATATCTCCTGGTCACTCAGTACTTGAAGCCCTCCCTGCAACTAGGTGCATGTGACACTTTGTGTTGTGTCCGGGACTGTGATGGACTTGGCAGCGATTACATCTGCTAGCCTGCTGATCCTTCCTTAGTTAGCAGCTGTTACTTCGGGCTTTATGAAGGTTCGTCTTGCCTTAGGCTGGCAGCAAAATGGGACACAGATATTATTTTTCCTTTTCTGTTGTCTATGTAAATGGCCCAGAGATCATTTTCATGGAATGAGTTTTGCTGCTGTTCAGAAGAGTGAAAGGATCTGAAGGGTAACAAAATCACAAACGTTAGAAAACCTGCAGGGGTTGGAAAATGCAGGGCTTGCTTATGGTCTGTATTAGTAAGTAAATGAGCTCAAATTATCTGCTTACAGTCCCTTCCAGGAGTCCCTCTTTTCAATCTTCTCTAACCTTTCTTTATTTTTAATTCTGGTTCACTTTAGGTAATTCTCTGACCATCCTAGCGCTTTAATAGAATATAAAATCTGGCGGCCGGGCGCTGTGTCCCACGCCTGTAATCCCAGCACTTTTGGAGGCCGAGGCAGGTGGATCACGAGGTCAAGAGATTGAGACCATCCTGGTCAACATGGTGAAACCCCGTCTCTACTAAAAATGCAAAAAATTAGCTGGGCACGGTGGCGTGCGCCTGTAATCCCAGCCACTCGGGACGCTGAGGCAGGAGAATTGCCTGAACCCAGGAGGCGGAGGTTGCGGTGAGCCGAGATCGCGCCATTGCACTCCAGCCTGGGTAACAAGAGCTAAACTGTCTCGAAAAAAAAATCTGGCTACCTCGTTTGCTTTGAACTTTTCCTTCCCTTGAGAATTCCAAAGTCCCACCTTCAGAAGAGAGCAGAGTGCACCTGCAACTCTGTTGTCTTTCATTTACTGTTTTAAATTCCAATTGTTTGAATAGGCACATCCAGCTCTGCAACTTTTTAGAAACAGTATTAAAATACTGTTTACTTAAATCATAGTTAAACTGGGAGCAGTGGCTCATGTCTATAATCCCAGCACTTTGGGAGGCTAAAGGGGGTAGATCACTTAAGGTCAGAAGTTTAACACCAGCCTGGCCAACGTGGCAAAAGCCCGTCTCTACTAAAAATACAAAAATTAGGTGAGTGTGGTGACTCACACCTGTGATTCCAGCTACTTGGGAGGCTGAGGCTCGAGAATCACTTGAAGCCTGGGAGCCGAGATCATGCCACTGCACTCCAGCCTAAGCCACAGAGTGAGACACTTTCTCTCTCTCAAAAAAAAATAAACTTGTTACATTCCAAAGGATATCAACCACCTGTATTGGTCTCCAAAATGACGTGCATTGTGTTTGCTTTTATTTTTCACTTTTCTGAAGGATAATTTTTTTTCTTTTTTTTCTCCTCTTTTTTTAAAATTGCATTTTAGGTTTTGGGGTACATGTGAAGAACATGCAAGATTGTTGCATAGGTACACACATAGCAGTGTGATTTGCTGCCTTCCTCCCCTTCACCTATATCTGGCATTTCTCCCCATGCTATCTCTCCCCAACTCCCCACCCCCCCTGTCCCTCCCCTATTTCCCCCCAACACACCCCAGTGTGTGATGCTCCCCTCCCTGTGTCCATGTGTTCTCATTGTTCAACACCCACCTATGAGTGAGAACATGCAGTGTTTGATATTCTGTTCTTGTGTCAGTTTGCTGAGAATGATGGTTTCCAGGTTCATCCATGTCCCTACAAAGGACATGAACTCATTGTTTTTGATGACTGAATAATATTCCATGGTGATTATATGCCACATTTTCCCTGTCCAGTCTATCATCGATGGGCATTTGGGTTGGTTCCAGGTCTTTGCTATTGTAAACAGTGCTGCAATGAACATTCGTGTGCATGTGTCCTTACAGTAGAACGATTTATAACCCTTTGGATATATACCCAGTAATGGGATTGCTGGGTCAAATGGAATTTCTATTTCTAGGTCCTTGAGGAATCGCCACACTGTCTTCCACAATGGTTGAACTAATTTACTCTCCCACCAACAGTGTAAAAATGTTCCTATTTCTTCACATCCTCTCCAGCATCTGTTGTCTCCAGATTTTTTTTTTGTTTTTTTTTTGAGACGGAGTTTTGCTCTTGTTACCCAGGCTTGAGTGCAATGGCGCGATCTCAGCTCACTGCAACCTCTGCCTCCTGGGTTTAGGCAATTCTCCTGCCTCAGCCTCCCAAGTAGCTGGGATTACAGGCATGTGCCACCATGCCCAGCTAATTTTTTGTATTTTTAGTAGAGGCGGGGTTTCATCATGTTGACCAGGATGGTCTTGATCTCTTGACCTTGTGATCCACCCGCCTTGGCCTCCCAAAGTGTTGTGATTACAGGCGTGAGCCACTGCTCCCGGCCCTGAGCCACCACACCCGGCCCCCTCTCTAGATTTTTTAGTGATCGCCATTCTAACTGGCATGAGATAATATCTCAGAGTAGTTTTGATTTGCATTTCTCTAATGACCACTGATGATGAGCATTTTTTCATATGTTTGTTGGCCTCATGTATGTCTTCTTTTGTAAAGTGTCTGTTCATATCCGTCACCCACTTTTGAATGGGCTTGTTTGTTTTTATCTGGTATATCTGTTTTAGTTCTTTGTAGATTCTGGATATCAGCCCTTTGTCAGATGGGTAAACTGCAAAAATTTTTTTCCATTCTATTGGTTGCCAATTCACTTTGATGCCTGTTTCTTTTACTGTGCAGAAGCTGTGGAGTTTGGTTAGGTCCCATTTGTCTATTTTGGCTTTTGTTGCCAATGCTTTTGGTGTTTTGGTCATGAAGTCCTTGCCTACGCCTATGTTCTGAATGGTATTGTCTAGATTTTCTTCTGGGTTTTTATGGTATTTTGTCTTATGTTTAAGTCTCTAATCCACTGGAGTTAATTTTAGTGTAAGGTGTCAGGAATGGGTCCAGTTTCTGCTTTCTGCACATGGCTGGCCAGTGTTCCCAACACCATTTATTAAACAGGGAATCCTTTCCCCATTGTTTGTTTTTGTCAGGTTTGTCAAAGATCGGATGGTTGTAGATATGTTGTGTTGCCTCCGAAGCCTCTGTTCTGTTCCATGGGTCTGTATCTCTGTTTTGGTTCCAGTACCATGCTGTTTTGATTACTGTAGCCTTGTAGTATAGTTTGAAGTCCGGTAGTGTGATGCCTCCTGCTTTGTTCTTTTTGGTTAGAATTGCCCTGGCTATGTGGGCTCTCTTTTGGTTCCATATGAAGTTTAAGGTGGCTTTTTCCAGTTCTGTGAAGAAGGTCATTGGTAGCTTGATGGGGATAGCATTGAACCTGTAAATTACTTTGCGCAGTATAGCCATTTTCACGATATTGATGCTTCCTAACCATGAACATGGAATGTTTCTCCATCTGTTTGTGTCCTCTCTCATTTCATTGAGTAGTGGTTTGTAGTTCTCCTTGAAGAGGTCCTTTACATTCCTTGTTAGTTGTATCCTAGGTATTTTATTCTCTTTGTAGCAATTGTGAATGGCAGTTCGTTCTTGATTTGGCTCTCTTTAAGTCTGTTATTGGTGTATAGGAATGCTTGTGATTTTTTGCACATTGATTTTGTATCCTGAGACTTTGCTGAAGTTGCTTATCAGTTTCAGGAGTTTTTGGGCTGAGATGATGGGGTCTTCTAGATATACTATCATGTCGTCTGCAAATAGAGACAATTTGGCTTCCTCCTTTCCTATTCGAATACCCTTTATTTCTTTTTCTTGCCTGATTGCTCTGGATAGAACTTCCAGTACTATATTGAATAGGAGTGTGAGAGAGGGCATCCTCGTCTAGTGCCAGATTTCAAAGGGAATGCTTCCAGTTTTTGCCCATTCAGTATGATATTGGCTGTGGGTTTGTTGTAAATAGCTTTTATTATTTTGAGATACGTTTTGTCAATACCGAGTTTATTGAGGGTTTTTAGCATAAAGGGCTGTTGAATTTTTCAGAGGCCTTCTGTGCATCAATTGAGATAATCATGTGGTTTTTGTCTTTGGTTCTGTTTATGAGGTGAATTACATTTATAGACTTGTGTATGTTGAAATAGCCTTGCATCCCCGGGAAGAATCCTCCTTGATCATGGTGGATAAGCTTTCTGATGTGCTGTTGCAATCGGCTTGCCAGTATTTTATTGAAGATTTTTGCATCTATGTTCATCATGGATATTGGCCTGAAGTTTTCTTTTCATGTTGAGTCTCTGCCAGGTTTTGGTATCAGGATGATGTTGGTTGGTCTCATAAAATGATTTGGGAAGGATTCCCTCTTTTTGGATTATTTGGAATAGTTTCAGAAGGTAACAGTTCCTCTTTAGATGTCTGGTAGAATTTGGCTGTGAACCCATCTGGACCTGGGCTTTTTTTGGGTGATAGGCTCTTAATTGGTGCCTCAACTTCAGAGTTTATTTCCTATTCAGGGTTTCGACTTCTTCCTGGTTTAAGCTTGGGAGGAGGCAAGTGTCCAGGAATTTAGCCATTTCTTCCAGGTTTACTAGTTTGTGTGCATATAGTTGTTTGTAATAATCTCTGGTGATGGTTTGAATTTCTGTGGAATCTGTGGTGATATCCGCTTTATAATTTTTTATTGCATCTATTTGGTTGTTCTCTCTTTTCTTTTTTATTTATCTGGCTAGTGGTCTGTCTATTTTGTTATCTTTTTGAAAAACCAGCTCCTGGATTTATTGATTTTTTGAAGGGTTCTTTGGGTCTCAATCTCCTTCAGTTCTTCTCTGATCTTAGTTATTTCTTGTCTTTTGCTAGGTTTTGAGTTTTTTTGATCTTGTTCCTCTAGCTCTTTCAATTTTGACAATAGGGTGTCAATTTTAGATCTCTCCTTGCTTCTCATGTGGGCATTTATTGCTATATATTTTCCTCTAGAGACTGCTTTAAATGTGTCCCAGAGTTACTGGTATGTTGTGTCTTCGTTCTCGTTGGTTTCGACGAACATCTTTATTTCTGCCTTCATTT